ATCGCGGAGTTCTTGTGTCTCGTGAGTGACGAGGGAACCTCGAGGTCTTGTTCTTGAGTGAGGGAACAATGGAGCGTGAGATGGGTCGGAGAATCGGAGCAGCGGGAGCGGTACTGCAGTCTCTTTACCGCACCGTTGTGACGAAAAGGGAGCTGAGCCAGAAGGCAAAGCTCTCTGTCTACCGCGCCATTTTCGTTCCTACCCTCACCTATGGTCATGAAGGATGGGTCATGACCGAAAGAACGAGATCGCGGTACAAGCGGCCGAGATGGGTTTCTCCGCAGGGTGGCTGGTGTCTCCCTTAGGGATAAGGTGAGAAGTTCGGTCATCAGGGAGGGACTCGGAGTTGAGCCGCTCCTCCTTCGCGTCGAAAGGAGCCAGTTGAGGTGGTTCGGGCACCTAGTTAGGATGCCACCTGGGCGCCTCCCTAGGGAGGTGTTCCAGGCACGTCCAGCTGGGAAGAGACCAAGGGGTAGACCTAGAACCAGATGGAGGGATTATATCTCTTCGCTGGCCTGGGAGCGCCTTGGGATCCCCCAGTCAGAGCTGGTTGATGTGGCCAGGGAAAAGAAAGTTTGGGGCTCTCTGCTGGAACTGCTACCTCCGCGACCCGACCACGGATAAGCGGGAGAAGATGGATGGATGGATGGAAAACATGAAAATACAATGACAAGCAAGTCATAATGTCAAACTGGCTGCTTAGGTACTAGTACAGTACAGTTCAAATACAGATTATTTCAGTTCCATCGAAATGCTGCACCTTAATGTTTATTTTATTATATTTAGTATTTATTTGAGTGAATACATTATTCACACTTTAATAGTAATAATAAAAAATAAAATAAAAGTTTGTTTTGTGATAATCTTTTCTGCTGTACCGAAAACGTACCGAACCGAACCGTGAACTAAAAACCGAGGTACATAACGAAATGTTTGTGAACCGTTACACCCCTAATTTCTAATAAAGAACCAGACAGAGTCTCTTGGCCCAGACACACCAAACTGACACCAAAGTCCTGATGGACTGGAACACACCGCAAAGACTTCAGCCGACAGCCAAGTAGCACGTACGAACTGCGCATGCGGGAGTGGCAATAACTCTCCTTACCAGCAGGCGGCGGTAGTGTGTATTCGTCATTCAAAAGAGGCAACAACCGGAAGACGGACTGCGTGATAACCGAGAGAAGAAGAGCAGACTGCGTGATATAAACAAATAGCGTGTGCGTTGGTCTTCGGTTTCTTCATTCCAGATCGCTATGATGAAAAATAAACTCTTGCGTCCAGCTGAGATGAATAAGAATAGCCGTCTGTGTGTGCCTTCTTAATCGTTTGTTTGGGTCCCTCACTTCCGTTTTGCTTCTCATGCACTGATTTGCTAGCTGAACAGCCAATCGGAGTGATTTATTCGTTTTCTGCCAAAAAGGTGTCGGCACGGCCGAAAAGACACGTAGGGCGACACAACGCTCATTGGTGGCCAGGCATCTATCGACGGCCCAAATCGGCCCGGTGTGTCTGGGCCTTTAGTTCCCCACGCTGTCTCAAAAGTGGGCCATTAACGAAGGCATGGGAAAGGAGAAGAGAGGAGGTGGAGAAAACTGAGTGAGTGAAATTGCCAAAGGAGGAAGAGGAGGTGTGTGTGTAGGAGAGGCTGGGGAGGATTTATTTGTACCTTTCTGTCAGAGTAGCCCCACTTTCTAATGAACTGCAAATTAACTTTTGATAAGCTGAGGTCAGTTGGCAAAGTGCCACGGCTATAGAGATAGACTTGGTTGGCCCTCCCTTTCTTCCTGCTATTAGACTTTCTCTCAGGGGCCCTGGCCTCCGAGGGTCCGCTGATTCACCATTGAGCCTCCTAGGGTCACCATGTGTTTCCAGAACCATCACATCAGAGATCGGTCAGACTAAATCTGGACCCTCTAGAAAGCTGCTGTTCTCGGTCCCACGTGGAGTCAATCTAGGACATGTATTCCCCAGATGAGACACTCAGAAACGTGTTTTGTAAAACTGTCAACAGTATTGTTTTACTGCCACACTTCCACTGGAACTCCTCCGTCAAGTTGGTGTCGGCTGAGTTCCTTCACTTGTGCACTTGAAGGGAGATTTTCAAAGATTAAATTAATTTCGGTTCTGGCACTGGGCTCCCACTCTTCTGTGGATAGGTCAAACTCAAGTCGCAGAAATATATTTTAAATAAGATAAGATTTACTTACGTGACCCCAATTTGGGAAATGTTTTGCGTCACAGCAGCATGCAAACAACATTGCACATCATGTGAAAATAAAAAAGAGTGGAATATGAACAAACATAAAATATAAGCATCTCAACATAAATAAGATAAAACACAACTAAAAAAAAGATATCTGAAAACAATCCGTCAAATATACACTATGTAGGGCCAATTTACAGTTAACATCATTTAAAAGTAGGATATTATTTACATTCAATGTGCAAGAAATAGACACATTATTTACAGATTGATGTTTTTATGTTTTTTTAAGTGAAAAGTGGTGGAGTCTAGTTTTTAAAGCAACACAAGAAACTATGGAGCTGTGAGTTCTCTAAATGTGGCTTTGTTGCCCAACCACACGCTCAATGATGAACTACAACCACAACATGCACACACCAAACCGTATCAACGATCAGTCAATGTAAACGTATGAGTGTATTTGAGCATTTACAGTTGTTGGATGGTCAGGTGGCAACTCTTGGGCAACCTTTGTGATACCCTGGCTGCTTGTCTCTGTCTCACCCTCTTTTTCTCCTCCCTCCATCCATGTGACTAATGACAAGGTCCAATGCTTACGTCCTTATATAGCCCTATGCTCTGTCTGATCTGGCACACACACGCACACGCACGCACGCACACGCACACACACACGCACGTAGGTGCCCCTGGTAATATCAAGGTTTATCAGGGACAAGATGTTGAACGCATTAATGAATGTGTTTGTGTATCTGTGGAGAGTTCAGAAGCTCTTTTTCTGACATTATTCCTACCTTGATGATGCATGAATAGGGGGGGATTACACTCAAAATAACAATGTCAACTGTTGTGTTCTCTTTGGCAACACCTGTTGCATGACGCAGTGTTTGCTGGGAAGGTTTTTGGATCTCAATTCCCAGAGATCCAAACAGTGTCGGGAATACCCAGGAACGTTTCCACAAACACACAGTTTGTAATACTGGAAATGTAAGGGCTTACGTCACGTGGCCATTGGCTCAGTAACAATTGTGTTGCCACACTTGGTGTTAGATAATTACTAATTTAAGAGGAAATATCTCAACATTATTTCTTTAGTTAGGATTGGGACGTGCATATCTCAATATTTGACCTTTTTATGAATATAATTGAGCGTGACGACTGATGGGACAAAATCCATTTCAGTTTGGATCAGTTGGTGTGAAAGGCACCAACATCATATAGTGAGATAAAAAGATTCTAAGCTAAAGCCTTTACTTGTCTCCTAATTATCTAAGTTTTTATTTGTTTTATAATCAGACCTCGAGAGACACAAACCAGTAAATGAATAGCTTTATCTGAAGTTAGCTTTGCTCAAGAATCTCTTCCAAGCTGAGCTTTTTTCCTTTTTTGGCCCTTTCAGCAGGCATCGCACTAAATATAAACACAGCGCAACTTTCTGTTAACTCGCATCTTGGTTGGAGTAAAAAACTGGATTTGCAGGGGTTGTCTGTCTTCGGATTTAGTTGCTCAGTCTTGAGGTTTATGCTTCCTATACACAAATGAATGCAGCTTGTCTGATGTGCCGATGTAAAGTGTACTATTCCTGAGGTTTCTCCCCAGCTTTTGGGTCGGTGAGCACAGCACAACACATAATCAGAAAGGCAATTTGGTGTGCCGTGATGCCATTCAAGGATACTCCTGTAATATATTAGGGCTTTGTTAGCCAGCAGATCCCTTGTGTATTCTTAATATAGACTATTTTTCTTAGGACACACTCTCCATTTCACACACTCACACACACTCTGCAGAGCTGCTCATCAGACCTAGTTATCGACATAGGGAGATCTCTCCTTAAATGGTATACTGCCCAGGATCCTGTCTCTGTTTCCAGTGCACAAACCAAATTGAGTACAGGTCTGGGAAAAACCTTTTAAAGTGTAGGAGGCAGAAAGAGATGGGATACAGACAGAGCAGAAGAACGTGAGAGAAAGAGAAATGGCAAGAGGATTGACGATGCCTTGTAGAATATTATACGTGTGTCGTGACCCTGAGAAGAATATGCTGTAGTATTACAGTAATACCGTCAGTATATGCAAAGAAAACTACAATGGCACTCAACTAGCAGAACTCCGCCAAGGCCAATCATGCATTCACGTGATTACATACCCCCCTAGATACTTACAATGGCAGTTGTATACATTTTTCCCATTCCCACGCACCAATATTTTGTTGATTAAAGGGGCGATATTATGCTCATTTTCAGCTTCATATTTGAATTTGGTGTCTCTCCTGTGACAGGTCTCCATGCTTTAATGATCAAAATGCTCTTTCTTTTTCTCATACTGCCTGTGCTGCAGCACCTCTTTTCACCCTCTGTCTGAAACCAGAGCCCAGTCTGCTCTGATTGGTTAACTGGCTGGCTCTGATGTGATTGGTCAACCGCTTGGAGATGTCCAGGTCCTTAGCTTATCATGTACAATGTGTTGCAGCGCTTGTTAATAGAAGCACGTGTTTTACGTAGTGAGGTTACTTTGCCTCGGAAGTAAACTAAGGGGGCCAATGGAGGCGAGGGGGGGGGGGCAGTGTGTCGGAGAGATACTCGCTCTGGAGGGAATGCAAGGATTTTTGCCTTTGCAGACCTGCACAAAAACCTAAAGAAAACACTACACTAGAAGAAACAGCCCAACAATGATAACAGGGCCTCTTCAAAAAAAACAACACGTGTTTTTAGGAGAACATTTGTCCGTTAAATGTCAACGATGTTGCAAGAATATACTCCAAACAATGTCACTAAATTCTGTTGTTCTTTTCTCTTTGCAGCCGGAAAATCTACAGAAAACATGGCTGAGGGAGTTTTACCAGGTACGTGATACAGTTCCCAGCTAACATATGCAATCATGTTAGTGCAACAAGTTGCATATTACTGCATGGAGTCTTTTAAACTGACTTACTGGCAGCTCACCTGCTGATTTTGTGATATTCCACATGGCCAGTTTACTGCTGCTGCAATGGAAAACTCAATTTTCTTCCTTTACAGTAACATACTGTAGGCCAAAAGTACACAGCTTTATGTACTTTAACCACACTCCAGCTTTTACCATTTCACCAAATGTTATTAGACTTGCGACCTACTCATTTCCTTATTTGTATATGTTTTTCAAAGTGGATGTAGTATTGGCCCCAGCCTGACACTTGTTTCTATATTGTTGTCATGAGACTGTGACCACAAACCCCTCAGGCTAGTCCACATGATCTTCAGTTGGAGATCTTTAAACTAAGCTGAAACATCTTTCCTGCACAGAGAAGATTTCCATATATTTCTGCAGTATTTTGAGCAAAAGCTTCCAAGTCCCTTTCATAAAAATGTATGTATGTTTACTTATACCTTTTTATAATTCTGTTTGGGGACTTCAAAATGAATTATTGGAGACTTATCGCAGGGATCTTTTCACCTCATGTTCACCCCAGTTATTGCATTGGGTCTTTTTCAGAAAAGCAAAAGCTAGAGCTCAGTCATGTTTCATATCTGACTGTTTGATCTACATAGGAACCCCTGACTAACCACAACTCTTTCCACTGGGGTAAGGGAAGTGATGCAGCTACAACTCTCAACTGCTGTCTGAACGTGACAGACAGATACAGGAGTAACACAGTTTAACTATGATAACCAATCCTTTTTTTGTAGTTGTACATTCAGCATCTAAAATACATTCTGTGTTAATTGCCACTTCCAGATGGCTCATTTGTACACCACATTACATTACTTGTGTCCAAAGCGACTTACACACACTTTAATACTGTAGACATGCCTGCATGACCAATTTGGGGTTAAGAATCTCGCTCAAGGACACTTCTACTTGTTTGCTTCTAGCATCAAACCAGTGACCCTCTGTTTGTTAGCTTGAATGTATTCATGACTAAGAAATACAGTATGTATTTAAATAATCCTGTTTGTTTTGTTGTTTAAATATTTGTTCAAAATTCCCCTTAACAAAACAAATAAATGAGTGCCCCTAATAGGAATACCATGATTCCACAAGGGGTGGGACATTTCTTTCCGATACTTGTGGTAATGCAGATCAAAGTAGCCTTTTTTGCTTAATCAGTGAGACCAGAAATTAGGCATTAGGGCCAAATTAAAGAGAGAAAGCTAATGTTAGCTAGCATCCCCCCCTTTTGTGCAATGTTGGGTGAACACAATACTGTGTTACGCAGAGTTGCCAATGACTATTCAAATATTATGAACATAAAGTAGCTCCTAGTGTGAATCAATGCTAATGTTAGCAAGCTAAACTATACAACATCAACAGGAAACTAGTTTGCCTTACTTAGCCAGCCAGTACTAAGTGTAATATAATCTCAATAGCATGATTGTGCCTGTGCCATCTTAAATGTTGTATTCAATTACAAAGGTGTAAAAGTGAATGCTATGTGTAGTTTTTTTATACACGACCATTTCAGCATAATATATATGATATTTTTTATATTGATCGATCATTAAAGTGTTCTCAAAGCTTGTGAAGGTGCAGCTAGTTTGAATGACTTCTGATTTAAGAGTTGATTATATTTCACATCATTAATCCACATCTGTAAAGTAACTAAAGGTATTAAATGTATGTAGTGGAGTAAAAGTACACCATTTACCTCTGAATTGTTGTGGGGTAGAAGTACATATTTGTTAAACAATTGAAATACTTAAGTAAAGTACAAGTACCTCAAAATTGTACTTAAGTTTAGTATTTGAGTAAATGTACTTTTAATTTACACCACTGCAAGTGAGAAACAAGGCAGTGGGAAGAGGTCAACGTGTTGTGAGGATGCGTGTTTTCACTCAAGACCAGGAAGTAGTATAACTAACATTAGTTTCCAGTTGCAGCTTTATTGTGAAGAAGTATCCTGCATGTGACCCAGACAAATTTTTTCTATTATTCGAATATCCGTAAACGGGAGTCTTTAAAAGTGAATGTAAAACGTTAAAAGTCAAGACTCTATGAAGGGCATAGTCAAACAGGGATTATGGGGCTACTTTAAAAATGTTTTATCCATATGCGGTATACGCTGCCAAGTTTGTTGGTTCTTTCTTGGCATCTCCAATAAAGGCACACAGTTCTTCCCTCCATTTGGCGCAAAGGTATTACAATATTTTACCTTGGAGTAGTAGTAGTAGCAGCAGTACCCATGCAAATCACATTTAATTAACCTAAAAGGTAAAATGATCTTCATGAACTGGAAACAATTTTCTCTAACTTGAGAAGCTTGCATGACAATTATGTTGTGAAGTTATATAATGATTTTGCAAATGTATACATACTTTATAGATCTAAATGCCAAAGCTCCCCACAGAAGTGAAAAACATATTGAGCGGTGTAAATCCTTTTTGTGTTCTTGTTAGCTCTTGATGATCCTACTTGTTCCCAAATGACACATACAAATGTACATATGTTGTTCACTTAATTCTCCCAATAAGCTGATTCTTTGACCGATTCTGTTTAGACTTAGTGACCTGATTGGGAACTAGCTGGAAAAGTGGTTAGTTCAGAGCAGTATGTAAACCAAATACAACAACACCTCCAACGCTGCTTGGAAAAATTCACAATCGTATTTACTATTCCCAGGAAGCCCGGGTTATTGGTTGAGAAATATTCCAGACTCACCCTGAACACACACAATGTCTTCATTCTATTTAGCCTCAAGCATATACAAGTATGTGTGCTTTTGGTAAAATATTTCAATAATTTTGCAGGATCTAATTATGTATACTGCTAGCCTAAAGGGATAGTATTCTGGTTATGTATGAGGCTGTTTAAAACCTGCAACAATACGTGTTAGTGTAGTACATGTCAAATCCTTTGAACTACTCACGAGGCGTTTGGGATCTGCAGTCAAATGATTTGTCTGTGATGGATTGCCTCATGTGGCAGTCATGGATTTTTCTCTTATGAATTCAATACACCCCATATTGAATAAATGTGATTCATACTAATAACTAGGAAGTCAATTCTGAATACATAATTAGTTTGAATGGTTATTATCAGACCAATAAGTTTCACTAAATGCCTTTTTGTGTCAACTAAAACCAACAGCACTTATGTTACTAATTGCTGAAACATACTGTGGCGTGTCTCGTGACTTTACATTTCTTTGACTACAAAAAATTAAATGGAGCCTATAGTTTGTGTACAGTAGGATTTACAGGCAACCAATCAGGGGTCTTACATGATCCTGCTTCTGTAATACTTCCTGTACTGCTGTGGCCCAAACCAATATTTAGGTATCACTAACCAGTAAAGTGACAAAGTAGCGGGCAATAGCCAAGCACATTCAGTCATGTACTGTGCTGAAGTGCACTTTTGACGCACTTCAATTTACTAAAGTATTTCTATTTCCTGTTACTTTAGACTTCTACTCAAATCAGAGTTAAAAGTACTCTTTTTCGGGCACTACTTTTATACAATAGCATTGGTTTCTTTGAAGATTCAGATTATTGATATGATATTTCTTTATCAAGTAGTTTCTCGTGTATAATTAAGTATAAGTTAGGTTATGAATTTTTGGGTGAAATTCAAAAGCTACCCTGCAGTATATTAAATAAGCTGAAAAAGCTCTTTTAACAGCTGCATAATTAAAACGATGCAAAACATGAATGCATCAAACATTTTCTGAAATATGTCCTTGTGCAGAATATTGACTGTTTCTCTATAAAACTTGTTGATGCCAATGCTTTAGTTAAAATAATAGTTGTAATCCTTACTTATGGATACTTCTACGCTGTTGAAGTCATACTTGAGTATAATAAAGATCTTAGTACATTGTCCACCACTGCAGCTACACAGTGTATTTACATTAAGTTCCACCAAGTTGAAATGTTACTGCAGCTATTCTGCATCATTTTGAAAGACTAAAAAAAACCTTTGGACATATTTCAAGGAATGTTGTCTTAGCTCCGAGCCTCTTGGTGGGTGTTGACTTAGGGCGGGTTCCCACATAAAGGTCCGGTTTCTAAATCGGACCAATGTGAGGTTGATACATTGCTTTTCCAACCGGTGCGGTTTGCTTTACCCACATGGTACGCTTCCTGTGATTGGTTCGAATGGTGTTAACACCAGAAATGAACCGCCCAAAGGTCAGTTCAAAGCGGTCCCAGAACAACCCTCTCAGGAGGAACACAGAGCCGCTCTTTGGTCCACACCAGAGTTCCAGTTTGGCATTTACTACCCCAAACAAGCCCCAGCTCTGTTCACCTGGACTGAAAAAGGCTGGTGTGAACACAACTTTATTTCTGAGGGATGGTGTTGCTAGGAGATCCGCTCTGCTACTGACCAGAGAACGTATTAACCATGTCTATTATACAAGAACCAGCGATTAGTAACGTCAGAGAAGCCTGCATCAGAGAGTGAAAGTTAGTCTACTGTCCCAATGTTAGCAATAATTCCACTAGACATGTTCTTTCTCATTCATATTATATTTCCACACCTGCTGAGTCATTTATAGCTCCTCTCACTGAGGGGCTCATACACAGAAGAGTGCTTTTGCATCTGATAGACCTCTACAAATAAGACTAAGACGCCATGCATTTCTCAAAGGTGAAATGCCCTTACTGCCCTGCCAAGCAAGTAGCTTCTTGATGCTCCTGCTATTCACACATATATTTACATTTGATTATTATCAAACATTTACAAAAACATGTGCCCATTTTATGCATGCAAATCCAGTCCACCTCACAAAGATTAGTCCGGCAATCTGAAACCATTTAGACTTTTACAGCCTCTCTGAAATAAAATCCTGAATTTAAAATCCAGTTTAGCTGCACTTCAGATTAAGAAATGTCAAAGAATTAGCTGAAAAACGGCCATTAAGAAGTA